CATTTTCTTTTTAGTCTCCTTTAATCTGAAAAGTTTTTTATAAAAAAGTGACATTTGTGAAGGCTATATCAGCTATTCTAGAGAAATGTCTTTCAGTTTGGATTTGCCTGATTATTTCCCCTTGATTTAGATTTAGGCAATGTATTTTGACAGAAATACTACCTAAGAGATCTTGTGTCCTTCTCAGTACACATTATCGGATCTCACGTATGACATGATGCTTCTGTCTTGGTTTAGGTCGTATCTACCAGGTTTTTCCACTATGATTGTACTATTTTGTTCTTTGTTATCGATGAGTAACTACTTTTATATTGTGCAAATATGCTGTCCTCCATCAAATTTCCACCCATTGTTCCAATCGCTCCCTGATTATCCTTGATCAAATCAATTACTGGTATGATGTGGGAAGATATTTACAAAATTATGGTTTTTCAATATCATTTCATTTAGTGGTTTGCAACCTACTGGAATAAAGCACGGTCTCTCTCTCTCTTCATTCTTCCCTCACTTCCCTTACCTCTTTTCTCCTCTTCCTCTCCCTCCCTTTCTCTTACCAATGCAAATTCAGATATTTTTAATTCAATGGTTTTTAATTCATTACTTTCATTATTCATCCTGACGTTCAAACTGTCCCAGATTTCAGCAACATGCCCTTCAAGCTGGTTCATATATCCTTGTGATAGCCTTTCATTTTTCGTAAATTTCTTTACTTTCTGTTTATCTTCTGGAGTAAGAGCTGCAGGCTCATCTTGTACATTCCCAGTCCCAGACCTGGAATCAATTATTTCAAGGACCCATGGTTACTAGTGGGGAATGGTACTGAGAAACCAGTGACTCATAGTTATTGAGGTGTCATTGCTTCTGGAGCTTTTCAGTAGAGAAAGCTGGAAACAATATGTAAGTGTACATTAGTATATATGTTTTTTAAAATGAGTTCATACTGGGCCTCCCTGGTGGCGCAGGTGGTTGAGCGCAGCACTGTGGAGCTGTCAGCAGCCTCTGCAGTGCCGGTTCGATCCCTGCCAGCCTCTGAGCAACCCACATGGTGAGCAGACCTCTCCTGTCTCGCCCGCTGCTCCCCTCAGCAGTGTGTTTCTTCAGTCTGCCTGTTCTGCTCCCCACTCTGTCTCTCGTGAATCCTCTCACCCTCCCGCACATCTGGCCTGTATCCCAGTTCTTGTATAAAAATAAAAATAAATCTTTTAAAAAAATAAATAAATAAAATGAGTTCATACTGGTACTACTAATTCCACCGTGTTATCACTGAGATTTTTCCTATTCCATATCTCAATTTCTCTTCTCCCACTGAAATGGAAACACTGATATATAAACACTATATTTGTTATATATTCATATTGATATATTTATTCTAACACACTGATTTTTATTCATTTGCTCTGTTCTACAACACAGGCACAATAGTTACAGAATTGCTACAGCAACAGGGCTACAATGACAAATCTAACTAGAGTTCAGTCAAGATTTCTTTAAAGTTCATTTGTCTTTAAATATATACGGTAAAAGAAAATATACAGCAAATACTGTGTTCAAAAATTACCTTTGGGTTTGTTGGCATCTGCCTCCTTATCTTTGTTGATTTAATTACAATTTTTTAATGTGCAGAACCTCAACATGGTTGTAAAAGTAAAAAATTCTACAGAAATGTCCAGAGAAGGCTTACTCCCCTTTTCCTACCCTTTCACCTACACCTTCCACTTCCCAGAGGTGACTGATTTCATGGTTTCTGCTTATTTATTCTGTTTGTGCATGCAAACACTATATACGTAAATTCTGATTTCCCCTCTTGTGTTAACCCAAAAAGTATATTAAAATAATCCTTAAAGATATGGAAAAGATATTCAATGTCACTCATAAGGGAAATAAAACTTAAAATTACATTACAATATCATATTTCATTTGCCAATTTGGTAAAAAATTCAAATGCTTAACCACATAGTCTGTGGGTGAGCTGTGGAGAAACAGGCCTTGCAATTGGGAAGGCAAAATGGTGTAACTCTCGTGCAGGGAAATTTGGCAATATCTCAGAAAACATATACATTTACCCTTTGGTCAGCACTACCATTTCTAGGTTTTTACCCTAAATATAGAGTTCTAGCAATATAAAATCAGGTGCACAAGGTTATTCATTATATATATTGTCGTAAATAAAAACCAGTAGAAACAACTCTAAGAGTCTATATATGGGAAATTCAGGATAAATATTGGTACATCTATATAACGTGGTGCTACGTGGCTATGAAAAATAACTTAAAAAAAAAGAGAGAGATCATCCCTTAATGATTCTTCATTCTTAACAAGAATTCCAAGTCCAGTCAGGTACCCTTCTGAGAGCCCCCTCTGTTCTCTTCTTACATACCACATCATGTCTTCTTTCCTTATCCTCCTAAGAGCCCATGATTAATTACCACAATCATTCTCTTACAAACAGACACTCCCCAACCCTGGATGACCCACTGTATTTTCAACTTTTCCTTTCTCTGTTGAGCCATCCCCTTGAGAACAAAAATGCTCATGTCTCTCTAATCTAAAAAAGTCCTTCCTTGATGCCAATATCACATCTAACTATGGCCTTCTCTTTCTCTTCCCTTTCATTACCAGTCTGAAGCAGTAGTCTTCATTTGATATTTTCACTTCCTCACTTTCCAGTAATACTTGAACTCATGTCTGTCAATACCATGTGCCACAGAAATGGCTTTGCCACAAGGTTACCATTATAGCTTCCTTGCCCTAAATCTATGAGCACTTCTTAGTTCTTACTTGATCCTGGCAGTATCTGACAGTGCTAGCAACTTCCTTCTCAATGAAACTTTCTTCTTCTGGGTTCTGCCACATCATCCTGTTTTCCTTTTAGCCCCCTTTTTTGCTCTTTCTTGATAATGATACCCTTTGTATATTCTCCTTTGTCCACCTGGTCCTTATGTTGGCCTTCTTTATAGCTCCATCTGAGTCTTCCTTCCCATTCCCACATTCTTTAAAGGCAGTCATAACTTGCTTTCCTTGTCTCAACCTACATGCTGCTCACTGCTGTCCAACTGACATCTCCAGAACATACCTCTAAACTAGTTCAGATATCCCAACTGCCTACACAAGCAGTGCTAGACAACCCACAGCCTATGGCTCCAGAACACCCTTAACCAAGCTTATCATCTTTACCCTCAAATCTATTTTCTCGGGCCTCCCCAGTGGCGCAGTGGTTGAGCTCTGGGTTGCGAAGCTCCCCGTGGCCTCTGCAGCGCCGGTTCGATCCTCGGCTGCTCCCCAGCTGCTCCCCGGCCACCGGAGGAGGGTCCCACATGGCGGCAGACCCCTCCTGCCACCCGCTGCTCCCCTCAGCAGTGTACTTTGGTCCTTCTGCCTGCTCTGCTCCCCGCTCTGGCTCTGGTGAATTCTCTCACCCTCCCGCGCTTCTGACTGTACCCAGTGCTTGTATAAACAAACAAACAAACAAACAAATAAATAAATAAAAATACATGAAAAAAAAAATCTATTTTCTCTTCAGCCCTCCCTAACTCAGCAAATACTACCACCACCAGCCTGCCATTCAGGCCAGAAACAGTATCTGTAATCTCTCTCTTTTCCTAACTTTCTACATTCAGTCACCAAGAATTCTGTTAATTCTACCTCTTACACGTCCTTCAAATTCACTGTCTTCCCTCCACCACGATCTAAGTTCAGGTAACTCATCATTTATCCCCAAATCACTGCCTCTTAAATGGTCTGTCTCCAGTTAAACCTCTACAATCTTCACTTTGAAGTCAGGATTATTTTTTTTAATAGCTTATCTATGATCACATTGTTCCCAAAATTAAAAAACAAAACAAAACAAAAAACCACCATTCAATGGCTCTCCACTGGCCTTCAGATAGTCCATAGACTTCAGCATAGCTCACAATGTCCTTTATCATGAACATCCCACCCATATTCACCTCACTAATCTCATCTATATTCTTTTTCCACATGTATTCTGTGATCATCTGTTCCCTTGAACTCAATACCCTCTACTCTTTCTTGCATTACTTAAATGCTGTTCCCTGACTGGAACACTTTTTCTCTCCTAACCTCCCTCAAATCTAGCTAGCTCCTCCCATCCATCTTTCAAGTATCAACTAGGTTATATTTGTCTTAGGAAGCCAAAGTGAGATTTTTCTGGCCCCTTATGTTTCACTCATTTGTGAAATTTCTCAGATTAATGATGAACAGGGCTTCGCTGGTGGCGCAAGGGGTTAAGTGTCAGCACTATGAAGCTATCCGCAGCCACTGCAGCATGAGTTCAATCCCTGGCCAGGGAGGTGACCCACATGGCGCAGCAAACCTCTTGTCTCACCCGCTGCTCCCCTCAGCAGTGTATATCAGTCAGTCTTCCTGTTTTGTCTCTGGTGAATTCTCACCCTCCCACACCTCTGGCCTAGACCCCAGTTCTTGTATGCATAAATAAATAAAATAAATCTTAAAAAAAAAACCAAAAACATGATCATGAGGAAGAAAAGGGAATGGAACTAATATTATGGAGTGTCTCTGTGTTAGGCACAGTGGAAAAGATGAACTTCTTGTTCTCCAAGGACTGCACGGAATAACACTGGACAAAGTACTTGACGTTTCTACACTTTTTAAAAAAAATACCTATACCCTATCTACCTCCCCACAACATTTCTTTGAAGCTAAAATGAGAAAGCATAAATGTGTATGTTTATGAAAACATTTTGTAAACTCAATTCCTGTACAAAAGTAAGAATCATTATAGTCCAAGTCAACAGTAAAGACAGTGCTGTGCAATTCAACAAACTTCCCCAAGCACAATGCAAATAATATGAGCAAAAATAAATTTCTGCGTGACCAAGTCAATCGCTCATCTTGATTCAGATGATTTATAATAGAACTGCTGGAAAGGAGAGGTAGCCTTCAGGTATGACTTATAGAGAAAAACAGAGAGCAGAAAAACAGAGAGCATCTGCATCTAGCATACACAATGCATCTCTCACCTGTAGCTCTGCTTCGAGGCCTAGTCGCCGGATAAAGGGGTCAGTGACATGGTAGCGCCGCTCAAAGCTCAAGGCACCCCGCTCCTAGAGGACAGAAACAAACTCACAGTTTCATTGGTTCAATTCAACATGATTTGCTATGTACCTGTTATATATGCAGTGCTGTGCTGGGCACTGCTGGAGTTAGAAAAGATAGCAAAAAATTGGTATAAAAAATTAGTATAGCAGGAGCTATTCTACGTATACTACACTTGGAAGGGATTAAAGAATAATAGTAGAGAGTATATAATTAAACACTAAGTTAAGCTTGTTAGGCCACACACAAAAAGGAGGGAATAACAAACAGGGAATACTTCCCTATTTAGGCTGACTCAGGTGGGCAACATCTTTAGAACACACGTATATACAAAGGAAAAACCACCTACATGGTCCCTCCAACTCTATGATTCTGTGCCTCTAAGAAATGATCATTGCCTTTGAGGGCCACCATTTTAATGCAGTCATAAAAACCACAAATGGGCAAAGCTCCAAAATGATTCAGGGATGCAAGGGAAAAGACACGAAACACACAGACTCATATGTACCAAGTACATGGCTTGTGTAGAGCCATAACCTCAATCCTTCTGGGAGGGGACCACAACTTAAGCTGCACATCACTTAATTTTTAAAACATTTTTATCTAACAAAATTTTCTAGCACTTAATCTTTTCTAAGAACTTTCTTGTGTTCTTTGAATTTTATTCTCAAGATCAGCCTGCATACAGACAGACATTATCATTTAACAATAGAAACCAAGACACAAGGAGGAAAAAACAAAGTTTTACAGGTAGGTAGTTAATTAGGGCAGTGGTGAGATTAAGTTCCTGACCCCAGTTTGGGGTTCTTACTACAGAACTATCTTATATCTTGGTCAAATCTCTTGCATTAAACCCCCTTGCTTTTTTACTGAGGGTTCCTCTGAAAAGCCTGGGCTACCCCATGAAAGAAACTTGAATGCCCAGACACCCATTTATTTCATAGCACTGGTGTGTTTTCTATGTACAAACTGTAGAGGACAAGTGTAGGCTTTGATAATAGAGACTCTTATAGACGAGAAAAGAAATCTATGCTGAACTGGAACAAAGACTCTCCCAGTGTCTGTTACATGTACAAGCTGACAGCTGCACCAACATGAAGAAGTTGTTTTCTCCTGCTGAAGCTCACTCCCACAACATGCATACACAGAGATGTGCACACACATGGACAATACGCTGATGGCTCCCCTCCCTCACTGGCCTCCATTAATTTCAGCATCCCAGGTACAAGGGCTTAGACAGAGGTGTCCCACGAATTCCATTTTCTTAGGTAAATGTAGACAGGAGTCAAGAGACCTTGATTCTAGTCCTGGGTCTGCCACTAACTAGTTATATGGTTTTAGGCAAGTCACTGACTCTACATCTCAGTTTCTTTGGTTGTAAAATGAATCTGTGGGGAAGAAAGGACTTCAAATTCCGGTTCAGAGATGTGGCCGCTTACCTTGATCTGTCTACAGATGAGGTCTCTAGTTATGTTGACTTTTGCCATCTTCTCTTAATGAGTTCAACAGAAGGAAGCTATAGAAGGATCTTCAGGACCCTTGAGCATTCCAGCCAAGTCCAGGTCCACAAGACACACATTTAATTACCTGGAAAAAAAATCATCCAACCTTGGAGGATGGGATAAGATGGCTTCAGAGGCCTGATTCCACTTCTAAAACAGCCCACCAGTCAACCCAACGAATTGGCTACTGCCTTTGATTTGGCGTGCTCGATGATGCTGAAAATGGTAGTGATAAAAACCTCTGAAATGGGTAAAGAGGATGGGGTGGGTAAGAGAGATAATGACTCACAGTCACAGGTATCAGAGCAAACACTGAAGGAGTCATATATGCTTCATCAGAAAAATGGGGAGTTGAATATGAGTATGAAGGAAGATAGAAGCATATCTGGAAGTTAAGAACAAAGCAAAAGGCCAGAAAGATGTTATTTCACTGGTCAGTATGCATCTGTGGCAATCAGTCGGAAACTTAATTGTTCTTCAAATCTCTGACCCTAGCTTTGCTCTCCCAAAAACCTAATCAGTGATCACAAACATTCAACCCAACAGAGTCACAGAATCAAAGAGTGGAAAGGAAATGTAATGAGGATCATGTCCAAGATCCAACTGGATAAAGAAATCCCTCTTCAATATCTTAATAGGTAGGCTTTGAGTCTCACAACTTCTTGAAGCAACCCATTCCTTTGTTATATAACTTGGATCTCTAGAAAGATTTAGTAATCTCATTTCTAATCTCATTATCACAGATTTTGCAAAGGCAAAAAAAAATTAAAACCACCCAGG